TAAGGATGACATCCACACTCTTCAAGCATGGAGGAGAAGTCCTTCCTCATCACTCAGGCTCAAGGATGCCTTGCAGGGTGCTAACCCCTCAGTGCCTCTGAGCCTCTCTTTATGCTTTGAGCAGTGCCAGCTCATCCTGTATCCACTGAGCCAATCACTTCCCGCACTCACTCAGGACTCACTCTGGTGTCCTCGCCTTGCTCAAGGCCTATTTGGGCATCCTTCATTCCAGGGAGCCTTCCTTGGTCAGGGAAGGCCTCAGAGGAGCTCAGTTCTCTGTTGAAACATCCTGCTGCATTTACATACGTGCTCGGTCACATATCTGCCCAGAGGCTGGTACTCTGAAACCAGCTCAGAATAAGACAGGTTTGACCTCAGGCCCTTCCTTAGGTGTTGACCTATCTATTCCCTGGAAGAATAGGTGTACATGACAGGTGCTGGAAAGGAAGGACCTGGGTATACTCTATTCTTGTAGCATCCTCACTTCCCTGGGCTGGATTTCAGTTCCTCCACATGCCATAGGCATGCCCCTTTCCTACTGCCTCCCCTAGCCCTGTCCTGGGCAGATTCCCTGTTACAGGTCAGTCCATTAAAAGACAAGTCATTGCCTAGCTGGGGCTTCTGGTTACATTGCAAGCTTTAGCTTTATCCCTGATCTGTATGGGTCTGGGTGGACTTTCCCACAGCAGCCTGTATGGAGGGGATGGTGGGGGCAAGGATGACACCAAATCACCAAAAAGCTCCTCAGCATGAGACAAACTGATTGCTAAGACAACTGTTACTCATTCAGCCCTCTCTCCATCCATTATTGAGGGAATCTGGGGAGTCAGGAAAGATCTGTTATTAAGAGCGACTCTGCAGCTTCAGCCTGGATGTCCACAAGAATCAAAACACCCCAAAGGGAAGAGGTGAGGCCAGGAAGACTGATGCTAGAACGAAGGGGTAGAAGACGATGGATGAGGAAAAGATACTAGGGATTGATTGGAAGTTAAAGATAAGGAAGAAGTGCTGGGTGGTTGATATTTATTGAGCACTGACAACCACCCTATAAGGTAGGTCTTAATATTACACCCATTTTATAGATGAGGGCATTGAGGCACAGAGACAAGAAGACTTTCTTCAAGGTCACGTAGCTAAAAAGTGGTGAAGGTAGGACTCAGACCCACACAGTCTGAGTCCAGAGTCCTCCCTCTTAAAAATACAGGGATTAAAGCCAGGTGAATAGGTGAGCTGGTTACAGGTGAGCCTGTAGACATAAACAGGAACATGCAAAAGGTAGGAAGAGCAGCCAGGAGAGAGAGAAAAGAAGAGACAGATGAAGGTTTCCCAAGGATGGCTCTGAAAAAGTTTGGATGCTTCAGAGAATTCAGTGGTACCAAGATGATGGTTGATGAACAGTTCGATGAACTTGGCACCTAGGTTCCTAGTGATCCTAAGGAAGCATTGTCTGTATGGTGGTGGGACAGCTTACAAGGGGAAGAACCCAACAGACTGAGGATGTGATGGCTGATAATGGGTTTTTAAAAGCTTGGCCATGAGAACAGGTGACAGGACACCCATCTGACACAGAAAGCAGGATTCAGGTAAGAATGGGTAAGCCAGCCAGGGCTGGAAGATGGGAGGACTAACAGACAAAAACAACTTTACAAGGGCACAGGAGACAAAGTTCTCATTCTGTCCCTAGGCTCAGAAGAGTGAGCTCATTTTCAACAACCCAGAAACTCTCTCCAGAACACCTATGTCTTCTCAGGGACTTCATTTCTCAGTCAGTTCATGACTGGCACAGAATAATCCAAGGAGTTTGTCTAGGGACATCAGGATCATGGGATGGTAAAGTTAAAAAAAAAATTTTTAAGTCCTATAGTGGAAGAATTTTAGGAGCCTCTGGCTGAACAAAGTCCAACTTGTTTCTTTTTGTGCCGATGGACCACCTTAAAATCCAGAGGGGAGAAAGAATTCCAAGTTCCCAGTCTCCCAGGCTGCAGAGCCTTTGTGTCTAGCATCTTCTGGCAGAATAGTGTTCCCATGTGTTTACCAGGAAGCGAGAGTATTCATCCATTTCCACAGAAACATTCCCAACGGTTTCCGTGAATCCTTGCTCAAGGTAAAACAGGTAAAGTTACTCCACTGAAACCTGTGGCTTTATCTCTTCCTCCATTGCACATCCTAACAGCACGTTTGAACTTGTTCTTAATTCTCCTAGCACACAAATGTCCTTCAAAGGAAAAGTGCTTCAATGGGTCTCTCAAAACTCTTGCATAACAAGAGTTTAACACGTAGGAGTTGAACACAAAAACTTCTCAGGCTAGGGTATTTTCTTTCTTTAAAAACAAGAAAAGCAACTTTCGGTGCAACAATGATGTCATTAAAGAAATGATTGCTGCTTATCTGTATTTTGGTCCAGTCCCATTGGAACGAGGGTTGGACTCGGGTTGCTCAACCTGATGGTACATCTTAGAGTGACTCACACTTTGGTGTTCTGAAGAACTGAATTATTTGAAGGAAATTATCCATGATGTACAATGCCAAGAATGATAGATGATAATTTTTTTAAAAAAGTCATCTTGACACTAACTGGAAAAATTCTCAAGAAAGAATACAAACAGAAAAAGGGAGAGAGGGACAGAAAAGAGGAGGAAGAGAAGAAGGCAGGAGGGAAGGGAAGCAGATTGGTTTTGGGGATGAAGGCAGAGTGAAATGGGGGAAAAGAGGTCCAGCTTTTACTGTAAGTCCTCTGTATGCTTGGAAAACACAGAAAGAGGTATCAGAATAACTGTTGTAATAAGTAATAGGCAAAGTCCCTTGACAGGGGTTTTGAAAAACAAGAACCTCTAAAATTCCCTAGGAATTCATACTTAGAAAAGACTATGAAGAGTCAAGATCAAGATTAAGTTTCATCAATGCCCACTTTATGAAGGCAGAAATCTACAAAACGGATGCTCTGCAAATTCATCAGGAAAGGCACAAGCCCTGAGGCACAAGCAGCATTGGAAACAAAAAAAACAGAAGCAAGGTTTCTGTCAACTGTGTACTTCTCTGATATTTCTGCAGACACCCAACCCCACCCCCTTCACTGTGTCCTAGACCACACATCCGATTGCATGGCACCAGCCACCAACAGCAAATTCACCCTTCACCCCACGGAGCCAATTCTCCTGTCAACTCTCCAGGTATCTACACACTGCAGAGATTGTGAGATTGTGATAGAGGACTCAGAAGTGCCACGAAGGGAAGGAATGAGTAAGATGCATGCTTTATTCACTCTGGGCAATAGACCAGAAGTTTCTTGCTAACTGGTTGGGCTACTTCAGCTTTGTCCCCATTCTACTGATACCCAATCTAGGCCTGTTTGACAGGCCACCCTCCTGTTTAGATTGGTGGTGACTCCATCTTAATTTTACTTATCAATCATGAATTTAGTGCCATCTGCTTTGGGGCAGAAAGCCTGTATGGTCAATTCTCAACAGCATAAAATGGCACCCAAAACCCACACTCAGGTCTATTTGTTTGGAAAACAAGAGGACAATGTGTATGAGTCAATGGCCTCCCTGGGTTTTGGAGCCTGCAGTGGGACAGGACACCCTTAGATCCCCGTGGCTCTCCTACACCAAGTCTCTCCCCACACAGCGGAACTGGGGAGCTACCAGGTCAGACCAGACAAAATGGCTTAACCAGGCACCTACCCCCAAGGGGACAACTAGGTGGCAGGGAATGTCAGGGAAAAACAGAGGCTTATAGAAAATCTGTGAGAGCGGAATGATGGGACGGAGACTTGGGGACAACCAGAGGTTATTCTGACAGGATGTTGGAAACAGGCAGCAGAGCTGGAGACAGCACTGCAGGGTGAGTTCTGTCAATGGGAATCCTGAATTTCTCTTGGTGGAATCTGAGCTACCATGGAGAAAAGGATTTAACCTGGAATCTGGAGCAAATCTGGGGTCCAGAAGGGCTTGGCTTTCTCAGGAGCAGAAGAATCATCAGAGAATGTCATACTTGTTTGCCAGGATGGAAGAAGTAGCAGGAAACAGGCCACAGGGAAAAAGTGCAATGGTGAAAGTAAGCCACGCTCCATTGCCTTAAGTGACCTATTGTCCGTGGCCACTTTCACGTGACATTGGCAGAGCTGAGCATTTGCAATAGGGATTGCATGGCCCAAAATGCTGAAAACATTTCCTGACTGTCCCTCCACACAAAAAGACCCTGGCCTGATTGAGACAGGAGGTGCAAGCTACTGCAGAGTCGTCCCTCATGGCAAGTACAGACCCAGACAGCCAAAGCCACTTCATGTTCACAAATGACTAAACCAAAGTTATGGAGACACCTAGGTCCTGTAAAAAGGAGAGAAGATGCAGAGAGGCTCAGTGCCATGACCTTGTTCCCAAACACATGCAGTCCTTGTGAGAAATAGCCCAACCTTACTCTCCAAAAGGGCCATGCTTCTAAGCAGCCTTTGAGAAGCTGTCCTCACTGAGCAGCACCCCGTACTCTGATGGGCAAAGGAAACTAGTTGATATGCACATTTATTTGAGGCTGATGTAAGAATTGTCCAAGGAGAGTGCTCTTATTAATCCATCTGTTGCCATCTAAGCACACACATGTACAACACAATATAATTTCTTAATGATGGTTCCACATTAGTTTATATACATATGCATTACTTCATGTCAGTAATTTAACAATACAAATAATTTACATCCAAAAATTGATTAATATGTATACTTTTTAAATTCCTAAGTGCACCAACAAGCAAATTCTGCCATATACCAGTTTATTTTAAAAATAATCACACTAATGGAGACCTATTTTCTCCAAAAAATTTCTCTGATCCAGTCTCCCAGCCCTGTCAAACTAAGAATGATGGGCACTTGGCCGAGCCCACTCTAGGAGGATGTGAGAGAAGGACCATGTGAAATGGACCAGTTATCCTTGGCACATATTGCCACCAGCTGCACGAGCATCTACAAGTTCAGTACACAATCACAGGCCCTCCCCTCAGTCACCTTTTCTGAATGGCTCCCGGTTGTCCTCTGCTTCTGTGTTGACTCGATTCTGTTCTGGTTCAATGACAGGTCCCTGGTCTTCAAGTTCATCTTCAGTTTCATCATCGCTGTAGGGTACCACCTCATCATTAGGCTGAGAATCCTCATCAAATGTTGTTTCTGAGTCTCTTTCTGTGTTCATTCTGCTGGCAATTTGGAACTACCTGGTTGAAAAGGAGGGGAAAGCAGAGTGAATTAAGACTCTTGCCCAGTCTTTGGTTGTATCCTGTGTACATCTTGCTACAACACCTCTTTAACAGGACATTATTTTACTGACATATAACTATTTCCGAATAATGACCCAGAAGCTCAATTTAACATGCAAACCAACACAAAAACATTTGTTACTGGCTAAATACTTTGGTTAAAATTTTGAGAAAAAAATTCTACAGCTTCAACTTTTTTTAAAAAAAGAGTACACAAAACTTTAAAGCAGTATTTCAAATTGTAGATCTCTACCGAGTGCAATAAATTTAGGGAGTCACAACCAACATTAAAATAAAATGAAGTAAGTCAGGTGTGGTGGAACACACTTGTAATCCCAGCACTTGGGAGGCTGAGCCAGGAGGATTCTGAGTTCTAGTCTAGTCTGGGCTAGAGAGCAAGTTCAATGTTAGCTAAGGCTATATAGCAAGACTCTCAAAAAAACAGAAAAACACTCAGGAGACACTGGTAGAAGGATTGAAGTTCCATGTCCGCATGGTTAAAGTTAGCACAAGACCTTGTCTGAAAAACAAATAAAAAGTAAAAAGGGCTGGGGGTGTGGCTCAAGTGCTAGGTCCTGAGTTCAGTCCCTGGTGTTGCAAACTCCAACAACAAAAAAGAAGTGGACTGCAAAATACCAAAATATGGCTCACATAGTGAGAAGGTTTACTATTTGGTAAAAGGATTTTACTGTACACACACACACACACACACACTTATTTGCATTGTGGGTATTCATGGAACTGATTTTCTACTGTGGATGCTGGCAGAGTTGGAAAGCCACTCCTGAGATCTGGTTCCTGCTGATGCTTATTCTCTGAACCTTTATTTTGTGATTTTGTGACACTATTTAAATACAATCTTAGATCATCAAATTTTACTAATGCTTTCAGGGGATACTCCTTTGCCTTTATATCTTCCTACTACTGCCCACTCTTCTTATCTAGAATTTGTGTGTTTACTGCTACATAAAGTAACTCTACACAAGGAACAAGGATGCCCTGAATTATAATTATTTTGGGAAAATATTTACACAAACAACTCAAGTTACTTAAGGACAGACCTACAGCCTGGCGTTATTGACACAAGAATCACAGTGCCATGAACTCAGTATTGGTACTAATTGCAGCTCACATTCATTTCGTGTTAACTGCATACCAGGCCTGCCCTAAAGGCTTTACAGAAATCCCTAGAAACTTCCCCCATCTCCTGATAAACCTTGTTCTCTACAGAAAAGAAAACCAAAACTCTGGGACATTAAATAACTTGTATAATAATTATTAAGAATTTTCAGCAAAAACAATTGCTTACCAAGAGAGATCTCTTATACTCTACTTTTGACTTACATAGCTTGTTATACATTCTAATTGAAAATAAACTGCCTGGAGTAGAACTATGTAGATTTTGATTGCATGTTTCACATCAAACCTAGCATTTTGGACACCCTAAATAAATAAATAGATATTTGGTTGTAGTGGGGACTACAACTACTACACAGTTGTAGTGCTGTAGTGGGGATTGAACTCAGGGCCTTACACTTGCAGGGCAGGTGCTCTACCACTTGAGCTACTCCCTAGCCCTTTTTGCTTTAGGTATTTTTCAAATAGGCTCTTGCCCCAGCCAGCCTGGATCAGAATCCTCCTATCCATACTTCCAATGTAGCTGGGCTGACAAGTGCATGCTACCATAGCCAGATTTTTTATTGGTCAAGATGGGGACTCATGAACTTTTTGCCTGGGCTGGCCTCAAACTTCGATCATCCTGATTTCCACCACCTGAGTTGCTAGGATTACAGGCACCAGTGGGTGCCTAAAGTAATTTTTTACCCACAAGTAGATACTTAGGAAATTTTCAAGTATTTATATGGTGATATTTTTGGTCTAGTATTAATTAAAATAGTAAAAGCCAAAACAACCTGCATGTCTAAGGACTGTCCACTGTGTAAGTAAATCATGGTACACTCATGGATCATGCACACCAATTCAGAACACAATTGGTACAGGATTTACTAATATCACAAAAGTTCAAATGCATCCACTTGAAAGGTGAATTATAAATTCACACACACAGATAAGCCTAGTTAGTCACACAAAATTTCAACAAAGGGGATGCGTTATTTTAAGTGAACAATGTATGCAAAGTGCTCAACTCAGTCAATGACCTATAGCAAAAAAGTACTTGATAAACTTTGGTCATTATAATTGCTAGCTATTTTTTCAAAATTTGAAAAATGTTATTTACAATAGTAAATAGAAGGGATGATCTACCCCTTTAACCTGTCCCATCTCTAAAATTGCTTCTAAAATATGTCTGCCTCTCATTGGGAAGTGAAAAAAAATAGATTACTGTCCCTTTCGAACTGAGTGCATTTATTAGTACATGTACAGGCATAGAACCTTTTGCTCTCTGAGCACAATTCTATTTTCTCTCTTTATTCCTTTTTTGGTACAAATGCAAATGGCCATTTTTAGCTCTTTTATTTTGCTTTGTTTTTTATTGAAGAGTAAAGCATGTTCCCTCTTTTAGGATTTTCTGTGGGCTTATAAATGACTATTAGTTGGTATTTTATTTGTGCTTATTAGCCTGATGTGTGGTTTTATAACACAGTGGCATCAAATGCTTTAGTTAATATTTAACTGTAATACATTTTCAAAAAATTCCCAAAGTCTTAAATGCAAAACTTTCAACAGAAAACTTTCAAAATATAAATAATAGAAATAAAACCAGGCATGGTGGTGCACGCCTGCAGTCCCAGCACTCAGAAGGTAGAGCAGGAGGACTGAGTTTGAGACCAGCCTCGGTTATACGGAGAGCTCCAGGTTAGCCTGGGCTGCAAAGCAAGATCCTGTCTCAAACAAATAAATGTAATAAAATGGTTACTATTTATTGAGCTCCTACTGTGTACAGAGCTGGGCAGCACTATGGGTTAGATATTATTATCCCCTCATACAGATAAGGAGATAAGCTCAGCCACTAAGTAGCAGTTAGGATCCAGGCTCTCCACAGGCTATTGAAAAGTCTGAAAGCACCTACACAGATGGGTTTTATTGTGATAAAATCTACATAACAAATTTTTCCATTTAACCATTGCCTTAGTTTCTGTTGCTATATACAAGTTCCCTGAGACTAGTTGATTAGTAATGAATAGGGGTGTACGGACTTCACAGCCCTAGAGGTTGAGGGGTCCAAGTGCATGATGCCAGCTGCTCAGACATCTGGTGAGGGTCTCTACTGCATCATGACGTGAACAGGACATCACCTGGTCAGAGAGCGCAAGCAAGCCAGCTGGGGCCTCGCTTCCTCTTCTTGGAAAGCCGCCATTGCCACAAGGTGGAGAGAGGGCCTTCGGGATCTCATCTAATCCAAACCATCTCCCAAAGGCCCCACCTCCAAATACCTTTTACATATGACTTTGGGGATTAAGTTTTTAACACACACATTGTAGAGGAAATGCTCAAAACATAGCAGCCATTTTTAAATGTGGAGTTCAGTGGTACTAAGCACACGCTTCAGAAACACTTGGTAAGCAATCATTTTCACCACTCCCCTAAACCACCAAGCGTCTGGAAGTTTACTTTCCATGTTAGGACTGCATCCAGTTCTTCAAGTTTAAGGGATGAAACAGACAAGCACGATGACACTCCACATGCACGTGATCTAAAGTAAGAAAGGCATCGAGTCACTAACCCCGAACCACCCAGAGCTCCAAGCTGAGCAGCAAGTCACCTGCTCTGGGGCGGGAGAGGTAGTGTAGGAGAGGCACACACAAGAATAATGTAGCTGTTACTTTATCAAAGAAGAGCTGAAAACGAATCCCTTCTCTGGAGCCCCAAATGACTTAAGGAAGGTTTCCTGGTCTAAACCGTGATCCTTGTAAGTGGGCACTAAAGATAGGATGGATGTGTCGCTTATCAGTGTGCACACCTGCAGCCCGTTGGACACAGGTGTGCATTACTCAGCAACAACTGAGCACCTTTGAGGTGCAAAGCAACATCAGGGCCTGGGAACAGGGCCAGTTAGTGACTTCCAGGCCTCTGAGGGACACCAATAAGTAAACTGTAGAAGACAGCCAGAGAAGCAGCAAGGCTAGTCTTGGCTATCCCACACATACCTCCAATCCTTCCTTGTTTTTTCGTTTCCATGGCAACCAACCCAATTCAGGTCACTATGGTCTCTCTTACCAAAGGCTACAGATGCCTCTTACTGGACTTCCCACAACTAACTTCTATATGACCACTAGAATCAAGCCAGTCTTCTGCTTAGTCCTTTCTTATGTGTTATGGATTGAATTGGGGCCCCAAATTCCCCAATTCATATGTTCTCAAGCCCACACCCTGCAATATGACTGGATTTAGGTCTTTGAGATAGGGCCTCTAAGTAAGCACTTAAGGTTAGGTAAGGTCATCAGGATAAGACCTGCACAGAGAGCTCTGCACACTCCTACAGCCTCCCTCTCATTCACTACTCTACTGCCCGTGGTCCTGCCTTCATGTCCTGAAGCAAACAAGACTTTCCTTCCTCAGGGACTTTGCACATGCTCTTTGTACTGGTGAAACGCTCTTCTCCTAGTTCCTTGAACAACCATTTCTCATTTTTTTGACCTCAACTTTAAAGTCTCTTCTTACTTGATTGCATTGAACTGGTATCTGCCATCTTCTGCTACCACTGGTTTCCTGACCACTGACATTTCTGTTTCCTTCCTAGTACATACCACAGTTTATAAATATATGCTTGCTTTTACTTACTTATCATCTGCCTCTCCCACTAGACCACAAGCTCTAACAAGGAGCAGATCCCAGCCTGAGAGTACTCAGCACATCACAGTGACATTCAAAGACCTGGAAACGGAGCTAGTCAGCCTTCAGTGAAGTCCTTGAGAGCTTTGAGAGTTGTCTGCTGCCCTCTCCCCACAGTTCATACCTACTACTCAGTAACAGGTTCCAGTAGTCACTGGAGGAAG